CAATAAAGGTCTGCCTAGAAATCCTCTGAGAACAGTGGGTGGAGGCAGCTGAAGGGTTTTTTCCCCTTCCTATCTCAACAAGGATCCTGTTAGGGGGATTAACAAAATAGCTGGACATAAGCTGGCATAATTCCAGTGAGATAGTAAAAGGCAATGCCTATTAAGCTGTTGCTGTCAAGGTTTACCTGGAAATCTTATTAGGTGGCTGCTGAGTGTCAACTGCTTATAAGTTTAGCAGGCATATTATATGCAGGGTTAAAGTAGCCATGAAACAGCTGTTCCTGCTAACTGCTGTGAGGCTGTTTAATAGCTGTGGTTGGCTTATTAATTGGTGCCGTTAGTCTCTGCTGAGAGTGCCAGTGTATCTGTGCTTCAAAGTTGGCCTCTCCACTAGAGGGCTGACTGCTAGTGATGGGAAGCATTTCTGCTGTTGCCAAAGTGGATGGTTAGTGCTTGGGTTAAGGACGCTTAAGAGCCATCATCAGTGCATTGCTGTGATCCTGTTCAGGATGTTTGTCTTCAGCCTGAGCATGTTTTCCTCCTGAGACATCGGTAAACTCCACTATCAGAGACTGAGCATTGCAAATCAAAGCGTGTGTTGCTTTTTTGACCACTTTCTCATCGCTGTCTTTTCCATACTCAGTTGTGTCTACAGGCAGGTATGAACTAACCAAAAATTATTTTGTTGTGGGGTGAATGCCATGTTAAATCTTCTGATCCACATAGCTTGAGTCTCTGGTTTATTGGTGTAAAGTGTGTTATTGGAGTGCTTGGAGAAATAGATGATGGGTCAGCTTGCTAAAGACCCTATATTACTGTGATCTTCTTAAGGCCTTAATGGAGAAAATCTCTCAACCTGTGCTTTGTTACAGTGTGTTCAGTTTGTGGAACAGTATGAACCTGTGGTTGTGCAACTCTTGGCAGAGATGATGGATCCCACTTTTGTTTGCACTGTGAGTATCGTATTTAGTTCTATTCAGGATGGGCTCTGATACAGTCCTGCCTACTCTTCACTATGCTTTTCAGTGTCTAGCAAGCAGAAACTCTGTTGGAATAAAAATTAGCATGCTGAATGCTTGGAGCAAATTCACTTGTGCAAGGCCTTGGGCTTAATGAATGGACAGCTGTTTGACTGCCAGCCTTGTGCAAGGAAGGACAAGAAAAGAACTGCCAGTGGTTATCCACTGTTCAGGTTCAGTAACAAGCATGGTGTGTCTTGAATGTGATGAGAGGAAGTTAAATGACGTTGTTGAGAACAATCCCTTTCTAGAAGCTGTTTCACAATACTTAATATGAAAAAGTTGGAGTAACTTAGTTTTTCCTGGTGTTGCATTGCTGCTTTGAGTCTACTGATTCAGCTGTAACCATGACTGCAATTGTCAGCTGAAGACAGTGCTGTGTTTGCTCCTGAAGCTGCCTCAGCATTGCCCCTGGGCTCCTGCACTTCGTTAGGTAGAAGCTCTGACATAAGGCTGAAGTCTAAATGTTTCGGTACTAATTCATACTGACTGCTGTTCTTTCCACAGAAATTAGGAGTCTGTGGAGCAGCTAAAAAGCCTCTCCTAGGGGATGATGCTTGTGTTTGGGGTCCAGGTTACTGGTGTAAGAACATGGAGACTGCTGCTCAATGCAACGTATGTAAAACCTTGAATTTCCAATCATCTTTGATAACCTCCTTGAAAACTAATTTGCCAGCTTCTCTAGCACACTAAGTGGGTGAATTCCTAGGTGGGTACTATCTAGAGGTGGTTGAGTTTGATTAGAGATTCTTCCATAGCCCTTAGCTTTCTTAAAGCACGCTGTTCCTCCCTTATTCCTTCCTATTTATTACTCTGCAAGCATTTTGGAATCATAGAGTCACAGAACGGCCTGGGTTGAAAAGAACTATAATGACAATCTAATTTCAAACCCCCTGCCATGTGCACGGTTGCTCACCACCAGACTAAGCTTCCCAAAGCCACATCCAGCCTGGCCTTGAATGCCTCCAGGGATGGGGCATCCCCAACCACCTTGGGCAACCTGTTCCAGTGTGTCACCACCCTCTGTGTGGGAAAAACTTCCTCCTAGTATCTAACCTAAACCTCTCCTGTCTCAGTTTAAAACTATTCCCCCTTGTCCTATCACTATACTCCCTCACAAACAGACACACCTCCTCCTGTTTATAGGCTCTCTTCAAATATTGGAAGGCCACAGCAAGGTGTCCCTGGAGCCTTTTCTTCTCCAGACTGAACAAGCCTAGTTCCCTCAACCTTTCTTCATAGGAGAATGAATAGGAATCCATAGTAAGCTGCAGTATGAGCTTTGTATTTAGTCTGTGTTCCAAGAGCCATAAAACCGTGCCACAACCTATGATCAAGCTCTAAAAGTTGGCTTTCAGTATTGTTGTGGGTTGATGCTTTCTCTGCCAGGCCTTAAAGACTGAGGATCATCGTTTCCTGAAGCTTCTGAGTGGGGGGGCAAAAATACTGTTTAATATATAGAACCACTTATTTTAAGAAATGGTTTTTGTTCCAAAATCTTAGTTCAGAGTAAGGTGTTAATTGTGTAGGTAAGAGAACAAGTGGGTACTAACTGGCTTTTTTTCCACTCACATATACCATTTCTTTCCCTGCAGGCTATTGATCACTGCAGACGTCATGTGTGGAACTAGAAGTATTTTCCAGTACTGAAAGTTTGCCATGGATCATAAAAATGTGGACTGAGGCTGGAGAGCTGTATCTCAAATGTCCCTCCTCTCTGCCTCATTAATAATTTGACCTTCAAGTTCCTTTATTGTAACTCTTCTGTAGCAGTGCTGCTGTTGAAGGATCAGATCTTCATTGTTGACTTAACAAAGATATTTCTGACTGTACAGTTTAACTCATTATGCTCCTGAAAATAGTCAGTGTGTTGTAGATTTTAATTGGTAGACTGAAGTTTTTTTAGGTGCTGGGAAAATGACAAAAGATGAAATGAGCTTCTTATCTTTTAATTTAAAAAAGAACAAGATAGTGACTAAGCTTTTAAATATCTTTCTGTAGCCAGCTTTGGGAAGATGACATATGTTGTGTTTAACATCTGTCTGGAGTACTAGTTTTCTGCTTACTGTAGGGGAACCCTAAAGGATAATGTTGAATCCTGGAATTCCTTCAGCTGGAGTTTTCAAAGCTTTGCAGATGCAGGGAAGGGGATTTGGTGTGCCCAGCAAACTTTCAAAGCAACCCGTATATAGAAAGGATACATTTGCACTTGAGTGGTCATGCTTAAGACTTGTAGTGTTGTCATAGCTAAAGAAACCTCTCAATATTAGATCGTGTCCTTCTTATTTCCTTGGATGACTCAGCTTCAACATGGGTATTCTCTTGTCAAGCCCTGAACAGTTCAGTCTTTTCAAGCATGCTGACACACTTAAGGAATGCCTCCCCACTTTTTTTTCCCCCCTACTTGCTCAGCGATTCTGCTTCATCTTACAGCTTGGTACATGCAGCCAGCCTGGTGCTAAGGAGGTAGAGCAGACTCCATCGTTAGGAGATGGAGGTGAAAACATCAGCAGGGGCTTTATGTATATGAAAGCCTGTACAGTGTAGCGAGCAGAACATGTGGGAGATGGTTTTATTGTAAAACGCTGTTTCGTTCCTTGCTTTTGGTTTTCTCTTGTGGCATATTCCAGTAATCTTAAAGCTTCAGAGATACTGTTAGGCTTGCAGGTATTTCCCATTGCTGCCACCCATTCTCAGTGACATTCATCCTTCTGAATAGTTTGAAGTTTAGCTTTTTCTTTCCCCAGAGTTCCCGTTTGTATTGGGAAATGCGCCTGAGTTGCAAGTGGAGATAGCAGAGAGTGAGAATGCTGTTGCAGGTATTTTACAGCTTTGCTGGCATGCCTGGCAGCCTTTCACTGTGGCACAGAAGGAAAACATCACACTGAAATTCTGTACTTTTGAACAAAAGACTTTTAAGGCAGACTGCTACCCTGAAAACAAGTCAGGCCCTTGAGGTAGGGGCTTTCAGGATGAGAATCATGCTTACGTTGTTCAAGACAGACCTTTTACTGGCTTTATGTGCTAAATTTTGAACAAGGTAACTCCTCAAAAGGCACCAAACTAGTTCAGGAGAGTCCTCTGGGAAGCAGAAGCTGGGCTGTGTGGAGCTTTGAAAACTCCAGTCCTGTTCAGAAAGTGCTGGCAACTGCTCCTCTTTGTGCAGCGCCTTGGGTGAGACAGGAGCTCTGCTAACAGGGCTTCAGGAGCAAACAAACTCATTTTCACTGAGTTGAATTGAAAACCACTCAACTGCATCTTTTTCTTACTACTTGTACATACTGAATGTCTGGGCAGTCTTGACAGATACTGAGACAGATTTATCTTTCCTGTTTGTGTACAGAACTCTGAAGCACTCCCTGCTTTAAAAAAAAAAAAAAGTCCTCTAAAGGTGTACAATATCAGCAGCTTTCTGTCTTGGCAGGCTTGTGCAGTGCTTCCAGTGGTGTATCCCAGCAGGGGTAAGTGTCCCAGGTAGATGATGGGCTCTCCTCAGCATGGCTGGCCCCTGGAGAGATACAGGTTGTCACACTGCAGATCTTTTAAAACTGGATGATGTTCTTCAACATGATTTTTTTTTTTTTAGGGGTGTGGATTAACACTTGCTTTTATCAGCTGGCAAGGTTGTAATTCCTGTGGGTTTTTTAGTAGTGGAGGACTCATGCTGGCAGCCTGTAGGGCGAGGTGAGCTGGGTGAAGTCCTGTGCTCCTGCTGGGAATCTCTTCAGTTTTCTCACTTCCTGTGGAATGTGGCACCTGACCTGCTTGAGTGACGCGTGTGGGGGGACGTGCAGTTGCTTTCTAAAGAACATTGTCTTGATTTTTTTTTTTTTGCACAAAAGCTTCTTTAATGAACAATAAAAACCTCTGTAAACTGGTAACTCCGTTGTTCCCTTGGTGTGTGCTAATTCCTGAAGGATCTTGTCAGCGTCCCTTTGCCTCAAAGGCAGAAGAGGGCATGTCCCAAAATGTCACCTGAAGCTTTTGCAGCAGAGGCAGGGCGATGTCAGGAATCCTGAGGCTGAATGACAGGATTCAGGTTTGCATTGCAGCATGCGTGTCCCATCAAGCCTTTTTATATGGAGGGCAGCTGTAGGCTTGCCAGGGATTGCTGCTGCTTGTCTCTTCCCTTGATGAGCGCAATGCCTGCTGTGAGGTAACACTGACGTGTTGCAATTCCCATGCACGGGCTGGAGGGAGTTCTTGCTGGAGCTGTTTGCAAGTCAGCACTGAAGCCTGCTATCATTTAGTGTGGCTTTCCTGCGTCTTCATTTCTTGTTTTTATTTTGATTGCAATATATTTCTTATAAATGCTTAACGACACCTTTGATTCTTTTGACTAAACTTACTGATCTTTAATACCTGTGCTAGCTTTGGGCAGTGGGTTCTGGGCTGTAAAATGAAGCCTGGTTGGTTCTGACCTCCTGGGAATACCTGCCTGACTCTGGTCCCTCCCTCTGCTTGCATACTGCTGCTGATTTTATAATCAGGGCATAAAGAGGGGTGTGGTAATTGCTGTGCGTAGGTGTCAGTTCTCACTACTTCTCCCAGCTGTTCCAAGATTCCTCAGTCTGGGAGAAGCACGGGAAATAACCAGCACTGTGGACTGTCTTGGGAACAGCATGGCGAGCAAGTGGAGAGGCTGGGTGCTGATCCTCTCCGTGTGCTTGGGGTCCTACCAAGGTAAGGTCAGGCCTTGTGCGTAGGGCTCTTTCCTCAAGAGAGCTCAGAAAGTGCTTCTGAACCCCAAAACTATTCCAAGCTATCTTAAGCGTGTTTCCTCCTCATAAAGGATCGGAAAGGTTCAAACTCAGTAGCATGCTTCCTTGTCCTCTGGTTTTGGGCACTCTCCAATGGGTTGTGCTTTGTCTCCTGTTCACTTGGAATCGACTGTTCTGGTTTTTGCCCTGAATGGTGATTTTTAAGAGCAGAAAATGATTCCCGTAGGAGCCAGCAGAGCTGGTGTTTTGTAGGGGCTCAAGGGGAATGGAGGAGATGAGATTGAAGAGGATGAGTCAACGTGGAATCTCAACAGCTTGGCTGCTGCTCTCTATGCTGGGGCCTGGATGTGGATGTGTGCTGTGGGAGCCATTGCTTGTGTGTGCTATTCTGGTTTCCCACAGTACAGCTGTCTCTTGGGTTGGGGGTAGGGAAGCAGGAAGACTTTTCTGCTGAGCTTCCTGGCTGGGTCTTGGTGAGCTCTGGGTTACAGGGTGCAATGTTGGAGAGCTCCTGGAGCCTTCACCAGTAGGGCTGTAGGAGCAGATTGCTCCAGGCAGCAGAAGGCAGAGGGGTCGTGCCCAGTGATCCTTGCTGACGGGGAGGGAAGAGGGTTGGAAGCACTTAGAAGAAAATTCCTTGGGGAAGCCACAGAGCTCTGTAGATGCAGGAAGGTGAACTTAAGATCTTTTGTGCACTTATTTTGGCCACCCTCCCCTTGGGCTTCACAATCTGTGCTGTGCTGTCCCTGTGCTGGAGTTGTGCTCCCCATATGGGACGTGCTGGGGGGGGCACGGGCTACTGGGAGCTTCCTTACCACCAACAGGACCAGCAGGAAAATTTACCTGTGTGCTCAGCATGTTGGAGCCAGCCTGTGGTGGGAGGGAGTACAGCTCTACCTTCCACATCTTCACCAACTCCTCATTTCCTCATTCCTGGAGGGTTTTCCCACCAGCACTGTTAATATCACCTCTTCTTGGCCAGATCCTTGGATGGTTTGGGGGAAAAGCTGCATTTGGGGAGTGCATTGCTGGCTGGTAACTGGGGCGCAGGGCCCACGTGCCACCCCCAGGCTTGCACCACAACCGGTTCTCCGGGCTCAGCCGGCTCAGCTGTGGAACGAATGCTCCTCCGCGCCCTGCAATGTGCTCAGGGCACAGCAGTGATCCCATCCCTACTTGTCCTTCAGAGGGCATTTCCCACCTGGGGACCATTTGTGTGGTTGGTCTCCAGCCTGGTGCTGGTAGAAGTGCCCATGTCTGTGGGTCAGTCGGTTCATATCTGTTGGATTAGGTGGGGTTGTGTCTATGGGTCAAGCTGGGCCATCCCAATGTGCACACTCAGTGTTTTTGGGTTGTGTGGTGCCTGCAACACCCCTTCCGTGCTTACTCAGCATCTCACAGGGTGAGCTGGTGACCCAATATCTGTGAAAACAGTGATTAAAATGGACAGCTGTCCAATCTGGGAGGATGTGGCAGGTGGGAATGGAATCTTAGGCCACTTCATGCTGGGGCTGCGCACCCACCTTTCCTAACCCTGGCATCATATTTCTGTGTGCAATCCTGTTTTCCTTCATCAAAGGAGCATCAAGAGGGAGAACTGGCTTAAAAAAAAAAAAAGGGTGGATTTTGCTGGGGGAAAGCATCAGTGCTCCTTTTTCTGCCACGTAGATGTATGTATCATAAATAGATATTTTTATATATAGTAAGCTCAGAAACAGCCTCAGGTTGCAATGCTTTGTCTCTTTTCTCTTAAATGGGGCTGCCCCTTAGCTCTTGTCTGCCTTGCTGTTCCTGTTCAACACACCGTTGCTGTACCTACATCAGCTGATGCAGTGAGTGTGTGCCTGTGTGGGACTATTCCATGGGAACAGTCCCTGTCGGACCCACCCTGCCCTGGAGCAGCGCAGCAGCACTGCAGAGAGCTATGCTAGCACTTTTGCTGCAGATGCAGTTTGTGGGGGGATGCTGCTTGCCCTGTTGTGCCTGCACAGAATGCATCCTGACGTGTGGAGGTGGCAATTAAACACTGATGGTGGGAGGTGCTTATCAGGTGGCGTTACACCATGCCTGGCCTGAGCGAGAGCGATGCTGTCACCTCTGTATTATTCATTTTGCAAGATTTATGAGGGTTTTTTTTACGGTGACGCCTTACCAGGTGTATTCAGCTCTCCAGGCTGTGGGTGCCTCACATTCACTGTGATTTGAAGATGGGAGGAAGCTGCTGTGATGTGTGCCTGTCCTTATTGAGGGCAATAAATGATGTTGCAAAAGGAGAAGGAGGCAGAGTTGGGGCTGAGTGAGCTTTGGGTGTCAGCAGCAAGTGGCAGAGATAAAATAATAGTAAATGATGCTATTGTGAAAGCTGAGGCGAGTCAGGGCAGGAGGAATGAGCAGCATAGCATTGCTCCTTGCTGCCTTTGCAGCTGGGGATGGGATTGGATGGAATGGGAAGCAATGAGATGGATAGGATGCAATGAGACAGTATGTGATGGTATGAAAGAGGGTGTGATGGAATGGGAAGAGATAAGTTAGGATGCAATGCAATGAGATGGAAGGGGTGGGACAGGAGGTGAGATGAAATGTGATAGGATGGTTGAGATGTGATGGATAGGATGGAGTGGAATGGGATTGGATGAGGGGGGATGCAGTGAGATGGAATAGGATGAGATGAAAGGGGAAAGAGTGGGATGAGAAGAGACAAAATGTGATGGGATTTGATCTGATGGAATGAGTTAGAATGAGTTGGGATGAGAAGAGATGGGATGCAAGGAGATGGGAAGCAGGCTGGCAGTCCATGGTTTGGGGGTTATGCCACCTTAGGGATCCATGTGTGTGCTTGGGTGCTGATGTTTCCCTCTCCTTCCCCAGCTGGGGCCAGCCCCCTGCCTGAGTGTGGCGAGCAGCCGGAGGAGTGGTGCCGTGATGTGGGGACGGCAGCCAAGTGCGGGGTGCTGGAGCTGTGCCGTCTCACTGTTTGGGACCAACCAGTAGGGGTAACTGCAACTGGGGAACACGTGGTATTGACCTGCCCATAATCCAGGGGTGGGAAGTGGGGAGGATGTAGAGGGTCTGGTGCTAAGGCAGCATCCTGATCCATTCTCTATCTCAGCAGAAAGGGATCCCATGCCACCTGTGTCAGGTGGTGGTGTCCATGATGGGGAAGATCCTGCAGGACAACTGCACTGAGGTGAGTCTTCACTGGGAGCACAGGCTGCTGTCTCCCCATGCGTCTGCAGGGCCAGCACAGCCTGAGTGCTCCCCTTCTCCTCTAGGAAAAGCTGCGGCTCTTCTTGGATAAGAGATGTCAGTATCTGCCCTTCCAGGACTGGTCGGTCAAGTGCAAGAAGATGGTGGACACTGGTGTCCTCATCCTGGCCCAACTGGGCAAGCAAGTGCTGGTAACAGCCTGGGGACCTCTGCAGCAGGGAAACCCCTTGAGATACACGATGCGGGGAGCATGGTGGGAGTATACAGCCCTGTAATGGTGTGGGAGGCTGTAGACAATACTTCTGCAGGGAGAGGATGGAAATAGGAATGATGCTTTGGTACGGGGATAGATGTTGATATGGTGATGGCCCCAGCCTGCTACCTCACTCCCACAGTCGGACCCAAAGGTGGTGTGTGGCACTATCAAGTTGTGTCAACCCCGGGGGGGCCTTGAAGGGGCCCTGAAGTTCCAGGAACAGCCACCAGCCCCTGCTGACCCCGCACAGGACTTGGCCCAACTGGCTGTGCCCTTCATCAATGGCGTCCCGCTCCTGCTCCAGCCCCAGGACCCACCGCATGCCCAGGTACTGATAACCGCCCCTTCTTTATAACTCATTTATCAGTGCTGTTCTACTATTTGGTGCTTTGGGTTAATGAGGTCCTGGAGAAAAACTGTTTGGGTTTGACACTGAGTTGTGCTACTATCATCCTGCAGGACACTGGGGACCTGTGTGAGGATTGTGCCCGGCTGGTGGCAGCTGTGCAATTGGAGCTGAGCAATGGGGCCATCACTGCTCGCTCACTGGTGGCCCGCGCCAAGGAGGAGTGTGAGGGCCTGGGGCCCGTCCTGGCACAGAGGGTAATGTCACTGCGCCAGGGACATCCTGGTGGCTGCTGGGGCTGGGAGGTGGCAGAAGACAGTGGTGGTTACTGTGCCCCATCTTGTTTGGTATCTTTATTGATCTGGACGAGGGGATTGAGTGCACCCTCAGTAAGTTTGCAGTTGATGCTAAGTCGAGAGGAAGTGTCAATCTGCCTGGGGACAGGAAGGCCCTACAGAGTGAATTGGATAGGTTGTACTGCTGGGCTGAGGCCAATGGGATGAGGTTCAATAAGACTAAGGGCCGGGTCCTGCACTTTGATTGCCATAACCTGAGGCAGTGCTACAGGCTGGAAAGCTGCATGGAAGAAAAAGAGGTGTTCCAGAGCTGTGGAGATGTGGCACTGAGGGATGTGGACAGGAGGGGGTGGGCTGAGGTTGGGCTAAGTGACTTGAGAGGGCTTTTTCAATGTGGATGATTCTATATTCCTCTGCTCTCCCTGCACAGTGCAATTACTACCTGGCCAAGTATGCAGACACAGCTGCCTGGATGCTCCAGTACTTGGTAAGCAGGAGAGTTGCTCCCCAGTGCTTCCTTTTACTTCTGCAACTTTCTGGATAGCTCTCACTGTTGCAATTCAGTTTTTAATGATTGTTCTTATATTTTTCTCTCCACCCTCCACCTTCCCACCTCCAGCTGGCTGAGGTAAGCGAGATGCCCACTGGCAGCCCATTAGGGCCAGCACAGGTCCATGGGCTGAATGTGAGCCATGTCTCCGCAGGACCCGCGGCAGCTCTGCAGCATGCTGGAGCTCTGCCCCACAGCAGACCCAGGACCCCTGCAAACGCTGCTCTCCGAGAAGATGGCCCAGCTCCTGGGCACGCTGCTCTCCAATACGGTATGGCCCCGTCCCCTCTGTCAGTAAGGGTGGATGGGGTGAATGCAACTTAGCCCTTTTCTCTCCCTCCCAGGAGGCCACGCCGCTGTGTGAGATGTGTGAGTTTGCTGTGCGGGCGGCTGAGAGTCTCCTGGAGAACAACATGACGGAGGTGTGCAGGGGCTCCGGGGGGCTGCGGGCAGCAAGGGGATTTCCCCATGGCATCACGCCTTTCCCACCCAACAGGAGCAGCTGGTGAACGACATTGAGAAGGTGTGCTACATGCTGCCGCACAGCGTCATCGGGCAGTGCAAGGACTTTGTGGATTCATATGGCAAGGCGGTGGTCATCATGCTGCTGGAGGCCACCGACCCGCAGGCTGTGTGCACCATGCTGCATGTCTGTCCGCGCCAGGGGGCGGCCCGGGGGGCAGAGCTGGGGGCAGGGCTGGGGGCAGCACTGGAGCCGGCTGCTGGAGCCTTCTGCAACGTCTGCCAGATCTTCATCACTTACCTGGATAACGAGCTGCTGAAGAATGAGACGCTGACGGAACTGAGCGCTGTGCTGGAAAAGGGCTGTGAGCTGCTGCCCGGCCCACTCACCAGCACGGTCAGTGGGGCTGTGCTTGGGGTGGTCCTGATCCCCACCCCGACACCAGGCTCACCCCCCACCCCTCTCTTCTGCAGTGCGAGGCGCTGGTGGTGCAGTATGAGCCAGCAGCTGTGCGGCTCCTCGTGCAGATGATGGATCCTGACTTTGTCTGCACTGTGAGTGCAAACCCACAGGTTGGGGAGGGACTGATAGCTTTCAGGGCACAACCTCTCTCTTCCCCTATTTTCCCCTTGGCAGAAAATCCGAGCTTGTGACTCAGAGCTGACCTCAGCCCCCTGTGCTCAGGGACCCGACTACTGGTGCATCAGCATGGCCACTGCCACCGAGTGTGAAGTAAGTGACAGTAGCAATCCTCCTGCCTGCTGCACACCCCGCAGTGGTGCAGCTCCCATCTGCCCCATCTCTCTCTGCAGGCTGTGGAGCACTGCAGGCAGCATGTATGGAACTAGGAGCATGGAACATCTCCATCCTGGACCCTCCCCCCCCCTTGGGATGCAGCCACAGCACCAGGGATGGGGTGTCCCGGAGGCTCCCTCCCAGGCTCTGGGGCACTCCAGCCCACTCTGCTTTCTTCTTTTCCGCCCCTGGGGCTTGGATTTTTGGATCAGGTTAAGGGATTTTGTCGTCTTGTTGGAACTGGGAGCTCAGCGGTAGGCTTGTTTCAACGTACCCCCCTTATGCTATCCGCTGAGTGAAGACCTTTGGTTATCCCCTTTCACATTCCACCCAGAACTGACACCAAAGCCACAATCGGAGCAACTCCATGGACTGGGATGGGCTCTGCTGCTGCAGCGCTGGTCCCAGTTTGCTGGTGCTCTAACACCATGGGTCCCATGTGATTTTTGGTAAGACCTTTGCAAGTCTTAGTCCCAGCTGGGGCAGCTTTTTAATTTGACTTTTTCCCCATGGTCACTAGTTAAAGAAACAAAGCAGATTCCACGTGCCTGGCTTTGCATGACTTCTGCAGTAGATGAATGTTGCAGGGGGGAGAAAGAAGACATAGGCTGGGATAGAAACATGCATGTGTTTTTATATATATATAAATATATTACATATGTTTATATATACGCATATCTGTTCTGTGTGTGTGTATATATATACATATGTATACATGTTTATGTGTACATGTATATACACATATAAATACATATATTTATGTATATGTAGATAGATGGACACAACCTTGTCCCTGCTGCTGTGTAAGGATGGGCATAACCTGCAGAAGGATGCAAACCCAGCACTGCAGGGCCAGCATGTGGGGTTCCCTGGCTGCAGGGAGGCATGTGATGGTATCCCCAGCCCCGTGCATGGAATGCAACATGGAGTCACCTTCAATCCACTGGCATGGGAGCCTTTCTGGAATATATATATAGTGTGGGTATCCCATGAACACACAAATGAGTGAGTTTGGGGTTTCCTTCCCAGCAACCATTTCTTGCAGGGGATCCTGATGTCAAAGTGTGGTGATGAGGCAGTGGTGTGCTGGCTTGTCCCCACTATACCACCAATAAACACCTCCATCAGCCTGGCTCTTGTCTTCCTTCTCTTCTATGCACCCTGGTTGCACCCTGGTCGTGCTTGTGCAGTGTCATGTTTCTCCCCAAAAACCGGGCTCTAAGGGTGGGTGGAGGGATGAATTAAGAGAATTAAAGGGCTTTCTTTTCAAAAGGTGGCTGTGAGATAGTGATCTTGTTTGCAGAGGAGGAAGAACGACAGCTTAACCAAAGCCATAAGGAGTGTATTTCTGATTCCTGTAACAGACCATTCCCAAAACTCTCCACAAGGTAACGGTTGGAAACAACCCCCAAATGAACAAACCCGGGAGCCAAAGAGAAGGGGAGGACGAGGGGAAGAGGGTACACACAAACAAACAACAGCCAGAAGCCTGCTATTGTCAGTCTCTCTCTTTTGACCACATCGTAACACATTTTGGTAAAGCCAGCAAAATGGAGAAATGTCTTCGGTTGGGTCTTTCCCTGCTGGAAAGGTGACAACAAGCAGTAATGCTGGGTGGCTTTGGGCCATAGGTACCCACAGTTGAGGTGCAATGGGCTTTGGTCCCAGCATCAGTTTGTGTGGGGGACGCCTTGCTGTGGCTGTGCTGTTTTCGGGTTGCCTTCACCCTCATCCAGCCTCATAACGCTTGAGTTCATTGCATTCACTCAGCATTATTAAAAAAAAAAAAGTTAGTTTTTTAATAAAAAAATGAATTATTTAATGATTCAATGACACGCAAGGAAGGGCAGATCAGTCCTGAGAGCCCTCTCCCAGGACCCAGCTCTTCAAGGCTGCTGGGTTGAAATGCAGGGACAGATGGAAAGGGGACTGAGTGCCGGTCTCAGTACCCACTGTCCCCCCAGCTCTGTGCTTGTCTCCTGCCATCCTGGGCTGGCCTGGGCGGATGCTGCTGGTCATAGCTCAGTGATCTCCAATGGGCTCTCCATGATCACCTCCCTCATCTTGTGCAGGGGGGTGGATTTGGCCGACTCGGTGCGGGCATTGTGGTCGTAAGCCCCGCAGTCGGCAGTCAGAGTCTCCAGCGAGCGCCCCAGCACCTTCTGGTCGTCTTCAGGGAGGCTGTTGAGGTCAGAAGCCAGCAGTGTACCTGTACTGCCATGAACCACGTGGATGCCATCGGGGCCTTTCAGCTCTACTGGCTGCTTGTGCCGAAAGCGCAGGCTGCCCTGGCTGGGGCAGCGCTCCTCGTCCTCCTCCAGGTCCTTCTGGATGAGCTGCAAAACCCCACCAAGATGTCACCAGGTGTCCTAACTCCTTTCTGGGGAGTTACAACTCAGAATCATAAACACTGGAAGTACCAGTTAAATCATCTAGTTTAGCTGTCAGCCCATCACCATTATAGCACTAAATCACGATGCTCAGTACAACACCTCCCCTTTTCATGATCTGGACCAGGGATGGTGATTCTACCACCTCCCTGGGCAGCCTGTATCAGTGCTCTTTCTGAGAAGGAAAGACCCAGTCCTCCTCTTTCTTCGCAAGGAGCTCCACGGTCGATCTCCCCTTGCTCATTTTGGGGAGCAATTTTCTGTGCATCTGAATATTGCAAAGCTAGCCTCGGGCTGCACAAGGCCCTGTCACTGGGTTGTGGGGCCAGGAGGACACACTGCATCCCAAAGGGCACAGCAAGCATCTCCCCATGCCCACACACACCCCCTCTACCTCTGTGACCGAGGAGCGGTCTCCCTGACTGGAGGTGGCCTTATGCACCATCCGCTGGGCAAAGAGCCTTTTCAAGCGCATGTAATCATCCAGGACCACCTTCAGGAGAGAGCCCTGGGTGGAGGAGGAGAGAGGATGGGTTATGCAAGGGAAAGAGCTGTTTGTTGGAGGAAGGCTGGCCCCACCCTGGTGTTTCTTGCAGAAAAATATCCCCTTCTGGTGTAGCACCTGGGGGGAGGAAGCAATGTTGGATCCACGGTAGGGATGCTCACCTTAATGGGTCCCTCGCGCATGATCTGCCCCAGCTTGGCAATGTTGTCGTACTCCTGGATGGCGGCTCGCAGGTAGCGGTCATCCTCAGGCTTGGCAGCTGAGGGCTCTCGGCCGAAGGTGCCCTGCAGGAGGAGAGTGTGGCTTTGGTGTCAGCATGGGAACAGGCATAGAAATGGGTGAGTATGCCAGAAGGTTTCCCCAGGAGCAGGGCCGGGGCTGTATCTCACATGGGTCCTGGCTGGGCTGTTCCAGAGGTCAGTGATCTCGCTCAGGTTCTCAGGAAGGTCATCTTCATGTTCTGCTTGTGCCGCCAGTTCCATGGTCCGGCAGAAGGGGTCCAGCCACACGGGGTTGGCCCTGCCTCGGAGGGGGAAAAGTGCTCAGCCCAAGGGAGAGCAAGGAGAGGGGAGCCAGAAAATGCCCCAAATACTGTGCCCAGCTGAATCCCCCCATAAAGCAGAGGACTCTCCACCGCCAGTTCATCCCTGGCTGTAACATGTGGGTACTCCATTGAGAGCATCCCCTGATGTATGAGGAAGCAGAGATAGGAGAACTCACCCATCAAAGGAGTACTTGTTGGTGTTTGGCATGTCCATGATGTCCATGAAGCCTCTATTCCCTGCAAAAGGCAGGAGTGGAGGCTGCCCAGCAGTTCAGCTGCTTACAAGCAGCAAAAAGCTATGGGCATGGGGCAGTTTCTTTATGTAGGGAATTCAGTGGCAAAAAAGGCACCGGTGGCAGGAAGAGCACTTTGTGATGGGGTTGATGGCAGGGAGCCTGGGTGAGAGGAAAGCTTCCTACCACCACACCTCCACATTTAGCACCATGCATACCAGCCAGGCACCCTACTGAGCCATGCAGCTGGAAACCCCCAGCACTGCTCACCTGTGGAGCCCGCCACAATGGCTTTCAGCTTCCTTTTGTGCCTGCGAGAGAAAGAAATACAGCAAATTAGCAGAGAAGATCAGAAAGATGTCAGGAAGGAACAGAACATGCAGGTTATTGGAAGCTGGACACTACTCACACTGTGCGGTAGTACCAGTTCATGAGGATGAAGAGCATGGCAGCCAGGAAGAGCAGGACGGCCAGCACAATGATTGCCATCTGGGAGAGATAGAGGGGTAGTGGCAAATAAAAGTAATTATATTATTTATATTATATTATTAAAATAATATATAAAATAAGAATATTATGTATGACATATATAATATTAGAATAATATTAGTAGTATAGTAAAAAGTAGTTAAAGTGTTACTATATGGGAGGAAGGAGCTTCACCTGCAGAGCTGAGAGGTCGTCCGGGGCACGGGCAGTGATGGCAGGCTGTACATCCAGCACATTATAGTTCCTGAAGAGGTTCCTCAGCTGCTCCTTGTTCTCATCGATCATCTGAATCACCCTGGGGACAGAAGAGTGCTTGGGCCTCTTGATCTGTAAGGCTCACCACGGGCTCTGACCAATGGCTAACGTACCGCTCCACATCCAGGATGCGGTTGGTCTCCCTGTTCACCACATGGATCAGCAGCTCTGTCTGTGCAAAGTTCACCCGGCCTTTCTTGTCCACGTGGAACTGGGGAGAGACAGCAAGGTCTGCAGTGCTATAGGGGTGTCTCCTCAGGGGGCATCTCCTGAGGCATGCTCATGTGTCATTGCCCACATTCATGCAAGGACAGCCCTGTCCTCAGTGAGCAGTGCTCGAGATGTGTCCTCAGCCAGATTGCTGGGCACTTGATTGGTGGTGGAGTAGCCACATTGCTCCACAGCAACCAAGACCGGGGTTGGTCCTTCACTTCCAGACCCTGAGGACCTCTGTATCAACACTGTGTCCCTGCAGGGGATCTCCCAAGCTACATGTGGAAGGTGACATGCCCCTCGAAATAACCTGGAGAACTGATGGTTACCTGCACGTCATCCGTGTTAACAATGGCACCCGTGATGTTGGAAAGCAGACTGATGAACTCCTCCTCAAACTGCCTGACCTTATCGGGGATCTCATTGATGATAATTTTGACTCTCTGGTCATCCCGCAGGATGTAGATCCCCACAATGGCTGTGTCATTGTGGCCCACCAGGTCAGAGGCCATGATGTCCACAACAAAGTAGCCAGGATTGTAGGCCGTGAAGAGATCAAAGGTTCTTAGGATGCCATCAAGAGTACCTGGGAAAAGGACATGCACAAGCACAAGGTTAGTGTAGCCACTTCAAAACGCTCACCTGAGGTCTCCACCAAGAAACTTGCAAACCAGGGCTTGGCAGGTGACCTACAGAAGCTCTTGCAAGCTAGAGCCTACATTGTGAGTGGAAGAAAGAGGATGGAGGAGCAGCCATGCTGCCTAGTGACTATGGCTATGGAGCACATGTCATGCCATGGAATCATCTGGCCCTGCACTCCTGTGGTATCCAGGCTACGCACCAATGCTGAAGATGTTGGCCACCTCCTCAGAATCATTGGAGTGCTGCTTGATGTAGCGGATCCCCAGGATGCTGTACAGGACTAGGCTGTTGTTGCCCACATCAGCATCCACTGCCAAGACCTTGATCAGCTCTGATCCCACCTTAGCATCTGTGGCCACCCCTTCGGGAGGAAGATAGAACAGAGATCTGGATCTGTGCTCTGTTGCTTCTGCATCCACTCATCACTGGAATCCCTTCCCAGACACCAGCAGTCCTTACCTGCTGTATACTCTGACTTGGTGAACTGGGGGGACTGGTCATTGATGTCATCCAAGAAGATCCGCACCTCCTGAAGGGTCAGATCTGTGCTGAGGTCCCAGGGCTGTGCTCTGCCTGCTCGCTGGCCCCGGGGTGGGGACCAGTTCCTCTGGCTGGATGCTTTGACGATGATGGAGTAGTAGGGCTCCTTCTCGCGGTCCAGGTCACGCAGGACTTGGAGCTTCCCCTCCCGGCTCAACTGGAAGTTGCCCTCTCGGTTCCCAGCTGCATGCAGAAAGGGGAGCTGAGTCATTTGCCTTTTGGCTCAGCATGTACTTTACCATGTTAGAAATACCATGAGCAGCCTAGGGGAGCTATGCAAACCCTTGTAGAGCATGCAGGTGGGGGTGGGGTGCTTGGACCAGAACTGATGCAGAGTGACTCTAGGGATGATAGCTTAGGACATCATCCTTGTTTGGCCACGCTATGTCCCCATCTCACCTGCTATGAAGTAGTAGACGATGGCATTGGAGCCCTCATCTGCATCCACCGCACCAGTGACATTGCCCACCACGGTGCCAGGCTGTGAGTGCTCAGGAACGGAGAGTGCCTGGTACTGGGGACTGTCTCTCTGCCGAAGCCCAGGAGAAGGGACGGAAGGCTTATTGTGGTGTATGAGCCTTTAGTACCCCCCTTCCCTTCCCCCCCCCCCCACCTTTTTTTTTTCTTTTAAAGGCTAGAAGTGTCCAAACCCCATTGTGCTTCCCAGCACAGTGATGCTCAGCAGTGCATGCTCCATCACATGCAGCCCCATCCCAGCACCCTCTGTGCCCTCCTTGATGCCTTACAGGTGGCCTGAGGAAGATAGGTTCATTGTCATCAATGTCATCGAGTGCGACCTGGAGGGGCTGCATCGTCTCATAGGCTGGCTGGCCCTGGTCAGAGGCCACAATGATCAGCTAGGGAGAGAAATAAAGTGCTGTTCTGGGCAAAGGCAAGCAGGGTGAAGGGACATTGCCAAGGCAGTGGCAGAGCGGTGGCTGGGTGGTAGAGGGAATTTAACAGTGA